AAAAAAAAAACAAAAGAAAGAAAGAAAAGACGAGACACCGGACGAGCGGTGTTCTCGTTTATCGACTCGCTTGTCGGACAGCAAGTTGTTCGTACATACAATTCCAGAGAATCGAATCGAACGGGATGGGATGGATAGAGGGGTTGGAGGTAGGCGCATGAACCGGTCGAATGTACCTAATAACGGTGGCAATATCGCGGAAGCAGCAGCTCGGCGAACACCGTCTAAGATCCAGTTGGAGGCGTCGGACCGAATAAGAGCTTATCGATCCAATTTCCAGGGATCAACTGGTGAGAGAGTAGAACCTGGCCGGCACGCTGCTGATCACGACTGGATTAAGGACACCTTAAGACTTCGGCACGCGTCTTTTCGCAGCCGTAAGCCGCTTGCAACGCTAACGCGGGGGATCGTGATGGCTGCGACCGTCGCAGTCGATGCAAGTGTCGTCCCCTCTCCCTCTCACACTCTTATAATCGTACTAAGAAAAGATTTCCACCTTAGATCCACCCTCTTTTCCACCCCGGTGCGACGACGGCTTTACGTCCGAACAATTTATCCAGCCCGGTCTTTGTTTAACGTAATCTTCCTTCGACATTTCGATTATCCAGATTGAATCAAGGCTCTCCACTGTCATCGTTAATGAGCCGACGTGTACGGTGTCTCCTCGACGCCGATGTCTTTTTCCATCATCCGAACCTGATCGATGGCGATCGGGAAAGCGGAGATGAAGTCGGCTCAAACGTGTCTCGAGTCGTTTCGAATTGGACTCGTTAGTCGAAAATTCTCGAGAGTCTTCGAAGGTTTCTCGACGGTCGTGAAGATCTTGGATGCCTTAATGATAATGATGGATACAAAGATAGTAAAAAAATAAAGATTGGTGTGTGTCCTCAGTGTCGAGGAAATGAAAATGTAAATGTCGATTTGATAATCATGTTTGTTTGATCTCGAGGAAATTGTAGCATGTATTGGCAAAAAATGTCGATCTCTTCCTTACATATCTAAAACGTGTGAATTTATCTGTCCCAAAGGAAATACAGAAATGATTTCCTCAACTACATTGAAATGTAACGAATCCTGCGGTTCTTACGATCAAACAGTTGGATCTTGTCCAGTGTAGAGAATAGAATATTCATCGAACATTCATCTTATAAACTATAAATCTAAGAAACTACGCGCGGGACTTCGAAGACTCTCAACACTTACACGACTTCCGAGTCTATCAGTGCCTTTTTCTTTTTCAGATAAATTTTCAAGATTTACAGGTAGATTTTCAAGTCACGTTCGAAGTGATTCAAATTTCAATCGTTCCGAAATTGAAATTTGATTGGCTACCGCTAATCCCTGGGATGCTCTGAAAGAGGGAATAAAAAAAAAAAAACACTGGATCGGTGGAACCGCGCGAAATTGATCGGTTGTCGGTCAGCAACCTGGATCCCACCGACTGTTAAATATTCGGCCAATACTTAACCGACGCTACAGAATCTCATCCGCTTAACAAGTATTTCGCTGCGAACACGGTGACGATTGTCATCGTGCCGTGCACACCAGTATTTGCTCGTCACTGGCCGTGTTACAAAGGACAATCCGTGCAATCCACTTGGTCGCGTCTGCCATCTGTAATCCACGAGACAGCCTGTAATTTTTCAACCGTGCGCGTAGACACGCATGCATTGGACGAAATAATTTTTATTATTTAAAAACACATTATTTGTGAACAGATTGACTAAATTTTTAAAATGTAATGACGCATGGAATACATACAATGCATCAAACTCTATGGATATTTAATATATAATTTTTTATAATAAAAAAGCATATTTTACATTTAAAATAAAATAGTAAAAAAAAAAGGTAATTTCAAGTATTCTCTTAAAAATTAAAATTAATTGTTTTGAAAGTAAATTGGTAAAGTTAATCTTGGTTAGTTATTAGGCAAGATGGGTTTGTTAATTTAACAAGTAAAATTTTGTAGATAAGGGAGCTAATCCTTTAATATTTAGTGCAAGATTCATGCCATCAATTTAATTCTCCGCGGGGTGACAATTAACTGTTTTAACTTTCAAATAAATTCTGAAATAATTATTGAATTGTTAATGTACAATTGGCCCCTTGAATCAAATACTTAAATAAATAATTAGTAAAAAAATAAAGAAAATTCAGAGCCCAGATTGCCAACAGACGTAAATATTTAAGACACTGTACATAACAAACATACTAAAACTCTGCTTGATATTTTAATACATCTTACCCCGCGCAGTGAAAATAATTATCAGAGCATCTCAGGATGAGTCTGTTTTAAAATCAACAAATTTCTACAATATATATCAAATATATTCGTAAAAAAAAAAAAAATCCATGACAAATGTTCGAATAGTTTTGCGAACGAACTGCACGCAGAATCAACGAGTTTCTCTTTCCATTGTATTTATCCGTTTCTTAATCTCGCGAGCATAACCGCAAACGAAGAAATCGGAAGAAAGTAACATCGCGAGTTTCGATAATTGAAACCCCATAATTGAAGCGTTCGCAAGCGTTCCAACAGAACAGCCGCTTGAACATTATAACGTTAGCGCGGCTGCTGCGTTCGACAGATGAACGACCGGTTTGTCCTCTAGCAAGGGTTACGCAAGCATGACACATGTTTTTCCGTGACAGCGAAGCTGCGAGTAATACGGCTGGCAAGCTACCGCGCGGCAAGAAAGCTCTCTGCTGGATAGGTTTTCGCGGCAAGAAAACGGTTTCCTGTCGTTTCCGTCGATGGCCGAATGGTAACGGCGGTATGCACGGCTGTACGCTATTTCCGTCATACGTCTGAACCGATATACCGAGCGGACGAGAAGCAAGAGGCGACGTCACCGCCGATGGGGGCCGTGACAAGGGTGGAAAGCACTTAAGCCATTATACGACGCGCATGCAAATTTTCACACTCGCCACGCGTGCACGATGATTCGACATTGTGTTCTTTTTTGTTTTACTTTTCCTTGCTTATTTTAACTAGTGTTCACTCTTTATAGATCAGTTAGTGTCGGGAGAAACGGATCTGAATGCTCGTCTACAGGGGCAATTGCATTGGATTGTTCATTTCCTATTTTATCGATAAATTTAGCATTGATGTGAAATTTATATCGATTACAAGTTGCGGAATGTTCCAGCGTAACCTAGTTGCAGATGAGTCGTCAGAAATTAGTATACAATGTGAATAATCTCAAGTGTTAAATGAGCCGCTTTATCAATTAATTCCTTTCGAGTTTTTTAAAATTTCAGTGTCAAAGCATTTGATTGACTCTTAACTTTTTATATTCAAAATAAA